ACTATTTGCTAGTCATCATATATAACGTAGGCAAAAGTAAATTATTCAAATCACTTCAAATGCTCTTCACAGGAGTTTCCGTTGTGAGATTCGATTAAATTAGAGGACTTTATGAAATTTGATTTTAAGTTCCATGACATAAAAAGTTTATTTCAATATCAAACCGTACTTGAATTTTACCATATAAATGGTTACTTATTTAGTATTTACAAGTCACTATTTGGTCACTATTTCCGTAATTTTAGTCACTAAAGTCACTACTATCATGCAACTGTAATTAAACATTGAAAAACCCCTCGGAATTAGTTTTGATATATGTCAACATCAACACTTCGTCATTTGCCGCCATTTTTAGTCGTCCGTCACTTGCTTATCGCGGAAAATAGTGTAATCTTGCCGAAAAATCATGGTTAGCAAACAAATTTCGATTTCCATCCGAAATTTGGTGGTAAAAGACTGTTAGAACAAGGTATCACAACGGAAAATTGCTGCAAAGTACAACATTAGCCGGGGAGCAGTTCAGGAGATTTGGGCGAAATATCAAGAGATCGGATCCGTGACTGACAGAACAGGTAGAGGAGGCGTGCGCAAAACGGATCATCGAACTGATACAATGATTATCTGGTAAATAAAGAAAAACCCTTCAATAACGATCAGGTCGATCAAGGAGAACCTTCAGCTTTCGATATCCGATCGAACAATCAGCAGGTTTGAAGAGCAAATTCGCAAGAAAGCTGCCGTACATCAATGTCAAGAATAAGAAAGCACGTCTTGAATTCGTCAAAAAGTATATCAATAAATCGGTGAATTTCTGGAAACATGTCTTGTGGACCGACGAGTCAAAGTTTGAGCTCTTCAATCGAAAACGTCGATTGAGAATATGGAGAAAACCAGATGAAGCCCTACAGGATCGACATCTTCAGCCTACTGTAAAACACGGCGGTGGGAACATAATGGTATGGGACTGTTTCGCATGGGCTGGAGTAGGAAACTTAGTACGGATCAATGGCATAATGAATACTGATGCCTACATCGATATCATCAATGATAATCTCCAGGAATCCGTGGCAAAAACTCGAGTAGGAAAGGACTACATCTTCCAACAATATAATGATCCGAAGCATACTGCCAAAAAAACGAAGGCTTTCTTCAAATCCAAGCGGATCAAACCATTGGAGTGGCCTGCCCAAAGCTCAGATTTGAACCCTATTGGAAATCTATGGGCAATTCTGGATAATAAGGTTGATAAGACTGGTGTTACGAACAAGGACACGTACTTTTCAGCCTCGTCTCGAGCCTGGAGCAGTATTGACCATCTACATCTGCAGAATTTGGTGGAAAGCATGCCAAAACGTCTTCAGAAGGTGGATTTTTTTTCTTGTCTTATCATTTTTTTTTTATTTTTTCTCTCAAAACGTTATAAGAAAGTGAATTTTTGAATAAATGAATTAAAACATAGGTATTTTTTTTCTTAATACCTGATTTATTATTAGAACACAAAAAAGTTTTTTTTTTTTTATGATAATGATAGTTAGATTTGAGTAAACATTTTGATAATGATTCTGGTGGATTTTTTTCGTTGCGGGTCACTGTATATACCGTAGGCATCGGTTGATGAAGACCTGCAGCATTTGAGTGTTCTCCGCTGATACACACCACGTCTCGCTGGCATACAACAACACAGATTTCACGTTCGAGTTGAAAATTCGGATTTTGGTGCATTGACTTATCTGGTTGGATCTCTATACGTTTCGTTAACTCGCAAAATCAGCCCTAGCCTTTTTGATTCGTGCACTTATGTCGCTCTTGGTGCCGCCGTCCGACGCTATTTGGTTGCCAAGATATAAGAAACTTTCGACTTTCTCCACTGCTTGCCCCACTACCGTAAAGTTGGAATGGGTTGCCCGTGTTGACGTCCAACGATTTGATATTGCTAACGTTGATGTTGAGACCCACCGCAAAGGAGCGTTCGGCTAGGTCGTTGAGCTTACTCTGCACCTACCATGATGTCGTCGATTACGATGCGGAACAGTGGCGGTGATAGTATACATGCTTGCCTCATACCTGCGACTACCCGGATATGGTCGAACAAGACTCCGTTATGGAGAACTCTACATGTGAAAGCCTCGTACTGCGCTTCGATGAGGTTGATGATTTTATCCTGGACTCCGGAAGATTTTCATGACTAGGTTTTTAGTAGTCAATGAATACCAAACAGAGGGACTCATGGAATTCACTGACCTGCGGAGCGTGACAATAAGGTCCACACAAGTCGCGTCGATCTTCTCCAGTATCCGATTCAGGATAAATTTGCACAGTACTTTGAGAACAGCACACAGTAACATGATGCCTCGCCAGTTGTCGCACACAGTAAGATCACCCTTCTTAGGAACCTTCACTAAGACGCCCTGAATCCTGTCGGCTGGAAAAGTTGCGGTGTCCCAGAATTGGGTCAGCTTTTAGCATCTCTACTGATATGCGATCGACCCTGGGAGAAGGATTTCATACCTAGGAAAGCTGCTTCGATCTTCTGCAATGATGGGGTCTCGGAGTTGACACAAGTGATGCGCCGTTCCCTTAGCGGATCATGCCGAGATGTAGATGGCTGGTTGGACGTCGAAACTTGAAGAAGTTGAAATAATAAAATTGGGGTTTTAACGGAATGCTTAAATAAAACAGCAAGAAAAAGGTTATCTTCCATTTAATTCCACTTAATTAATTTTGGTATCCATGACAGATACGTATTTCGACTACAACGTGCAGTCTTATCAGTGTAATTCCCACTAAAGAACTTATCAAAATCTAACCCCCTTAAGTACTCATCCCCTAGGTAAAAAAAGTCAAGATCATAGGTATAAAAATGAAAATCAAAGATTTAAGTAAACTAAAGGTGAAAAATCTATACAACTCTCTTATAAGGAAAATCCCAAAGGCTTGGTAGCCATCATAATGAAATAATGAAATTGGGTTGTTAGCGGAATGCTTAAATAAAACAGCATCAGTGTAATTCCCACTAAAGAACTTATCAAAATCTAACCTAACGTTCTCCAGATTGCTCATCCACAAAATTCATAGGAAAAGGCTGTAGAAAAAAAAAAACCTAAACAGTTATAGACTAAGATATACTACTAAGCTTACCAGTTGTCTTATGAACTCCGCCAAATGTTGGTACTTGTGGATGCATGGCGGCAGGTTACACACAAACGGAAACTCCTGTAAAACTTGCTGTTCGAATTCTGCGTACAGGTGGGCCACTTTATCCGTTTCAAGTTTTCTGTCTGATAAAGCGAGACAGCTTATCAATCTGAGATTTTCATCTAAATTTAGGTCGATGTTCAGTACTTCAGCAAACTTGACTCGGTCTAATAATAGTTTTCTCGCAGTATTACCATTGTTACTACTCCCACTGCCCCCGATTTTTGGGCGGTTTATATTCCCTCAAGGTACTTTAACAAGCCTAATTTTGGTCTTTTAGACTATTGCAACCAATTTACTGAGCATTTTGTACAGCGATCACATTTATTTTTTAATATGCCATTCAACATGAGCAAACTTGTATATTTGACACATGGCTTATTTGGTCCCACATAGCTTCATAGAGTTCTCTCGTGACTCACGCTGGGCTACAGTGCGAGACCTCGGCCTCTGTCGGAGATGTTTGCGTCGACACAATGGAGGATGTCAAGCCAAGCTGTGTGGGAAGAACGGGTGCGAGCTAAAACACCACGAGTTGCTACACAATGATCAGAAGAACACGTCACCGTTCAAGGATACAGCACCCAATACCACGAACAAACCTACAACACAGCGCAGTGATCCTGCTCAACCAGGAACAAGTACGTCGGGACACGGATGCCATACTCATCAGGTTACATCCAGTCAGGTTCTATTCCGCTACCTGCCGGTAGTACTTCAAGGAAAATACGGTTCGATCAAGACGTTCGCCTTTCTGGATGACGGATCAGCGCTCACACTTCTAGATAAAGATTTAGCCAAGGAGTTGCAGCTTGATGGGGAGAAAAAACCACTGTGTTTGCACTGGACAGGTGGAGCGCAACGACGAGAAATCAACTCAAAGGCCGTAAGTCTGGACGTCGCAGCAACACATTGCCCCACCAAGATGTATACCTTGAACGGCGTGCGCACAGTAGATGAGCTTCTGCTTCCATCACAAACGCTCAATGTAGAGGAACTCGGCAAACTGTATCCCCATCTCAAGGATTTGCCGATCACCTCGTATGAAAATGTTCGCCCGAGAATTCTGATCGGTATGAAGGATCAACACCTAAGCCTGGTCCTAAAGAGCCGAGAGGGAACACGTGAGCATCCGATCGCTGTGAAGACACGACTAGGTTGGACGATTTGTGGAGGAGGAAACCAAGACGATGTTCCAAACCTAGTGCACTCAGTGTTCCATATGTGCCCATGCGAATCACAAATGGATGAGGATCTACACAAGGGGATCAAAGAATACTTCACAATCGACAGCTTGGGAATTGCGCAACCGAAGATAGCACTCATGTCCGCAGAAGATGAACGAGCCCAAACCCTGCTTGAATCTAGCACCGTTAAGCACCGAAACCGGCTTGCTATGGCGATATGACAATATTCGACTGCCGGATAGTCGCCCTATGGCTCTGCGCCGGCTCCAGTGTCTCAAGAAACGGATGGAAAAAGATCCAAAGCTCGCTGAAGCGCTCAATTTGAAAATCGCCGATTTCGTCATGAAAGGATACGCTAGAAGACTCACCAATGAGGAGCTGAAGCAACCATTTCATCGGGTCTGGTATTTGCCGACTTTTCCGGTTGTCAACATCAATAAACCGGGAAAAATCCGAATTGTATGGGACGCTGCTGCCTCTGCGTATGGAGTATCGTTAAATTCGGCTCTATTAAAAGGTCCTGATCAGCTTTGCGCACTGCTCGCTATCCTCATCCAGTTCCGGGAAGGCAAAATTGCGCTCACTGGAGATGTGCGTGAGATGTTTTTACAAGTCCTCATGCGCTCGGAAGACCAGCATTGCCAGCGATTCTTCTGGTATGACGAGGAAGGTAACATCGTGGTCTACATCTTGCAGGTGATGACCTTCGGAGCCTGTTGTTCCCCTAGCAGCGCTCAGTTCGTCAAGAATATAAACGCGGAACGATTCAAAGCAGCATACCCAGCAGCAGTTGAAGTCATCCAGAAGCGGCATTACGTCGACGATATGCTGGTAAGCGTTGAGACGGAAGATGAGGCGTTTCAACTTGCGCAACAGGTGAAAAAGGTGCACTCGAAAGCTGGATTCGAGATGCGCAACTGGATAAGCAACTCGGAACGCGTTGTGCGGGATCTGCAAGAAGAACATACAGATGAGAAGAACCTCGATCTGTCGCTGGAGCTAGCCACCGAGAAAGTGCTCGGAATGTGGTGGTGTACTGATTCGGATACCTTTACCTACAAGGTCGGATGGACTCGCTATGGAGAAGCGCTATTGAAAGGTCAACGACATCCAACCAAGAGAGAAATGTTACGCGTTCTTATGTCTATGTTTGATCCGCTCGGACTGATCGCACATTTCCTCATGTACCTTAAGGTGCTACTTCAAGACGTCTGGCGTTCCGGTATAGACTGCGATGATGCAATCGACGATGCGCTGTTCGACAAGTGGCAAACATGGCTGCAAGTGCTCCCGCAGGTTGAACGAGTCAGCATTCCTCGATGCTACCGTGCACAAACCTCTGCCAATTGTAAAGACATCCAGCTACATACGTTTGTTGACGCTGGAGATAACGGAATTGCTGCGGCCTGTTACCTGCGCTTCGCTCAAGATGATGTCGTAGAATGCAGATTAGTAGCAGCTAAGACCAGAGTCGCTCCGTTGAAGTTTCTCTCAACACCTAGACTAGAACTTCAAGCAGCATTGGTTGGGGCCAGGCTAGCACAATCCGTATCAGATGCACTGTCATTCCGAATCTCTCGTCGCCACTACTGGTCGGATTCCCAAGACGTACTTTGCTGGATCAAATCTGACCACCGAAGATACTCCCAGTTTGTCGCGTTCCGAGTTAGCGAAATCCTGGACACCACGGAGATGAACGAATGGAGATACGTTCCTACAGATTTAAACGTAGCAGATGATGGGACGAAATGGAAAGGACTTCCTAGTTTGGCTTCAGAGACGAGATGGTTCACCGGGCCCGAGTTCCTGCAGCACCCGGAAACTGGTTGGCCAGACTCATGTACTAGCTCGAATGAAGCCGTTCTCGAACTTCGCCGTAACGTATTAACTCACTTCATCGCCCCGGAACCGATAGTCTTGTCCAAGCGATTTCTCAGACTGGAATCGGATTGTGAAAGTGGTTGCTCTAGCTCATCGTTTTCCTGCCAACTGCAAACTGAAGCGCCTCCAGCAACCGATCGTAAGCGGACCTCTCACCAACCACGAAATACTCACTGCCGAATCCTATCTCATTCGCGTAGCACAACAGGAAGCCTATCCGGAAGAAATAGCAGTCCTTCAGAAGTCGCTACAGTGCTCGGATTAACTATCAACCCCGATCCCCAAATCAAGTCCGCTACACCAGACGACGCCATGGCTGGATCAGAACGGAATCCTGAGGATGCGCGGCCGCATCGCCGCTTGTTTCTACGCAACCGAAGATGCTAAACACCCCAAAATACTCCCCCGTAACCACCACACCACCAAGTTAATCGTTGCACACTACCACCAAAAATACCACCATCAGAATCACGAGACCGTGATAAATGAGATACGACAAAAATACAGCATACCGAAGCTACGCATGACCTACACAAAAGTGCGAAGTGACTGCCAACGCTGTAAGAATGACCGAGTGATCCCGCGCCCACCAATCATGGCTGACCTGCCTGCTGCACGACTTGCAGCTTTCGAACGCCCATTCACCCACGTTGGCGTTGATTACTTCGGTCCGTACGAGGTTGTCATAGGCCGACGAGTCGAGAAACGCTGGGGAATGCTCGCTACCTGCCTCACAATTCGCGCAATTCACATCGAGGTCGTTCACTCCCTCAACACGGATTCTTGCATCATGGCGATGCGAAACTTCATTTCCCGCCGAGGAAAACCACGGGCGATCTACAACGATCGAGGTACCAATTTCATTGGTGCAAAGCGGGAGATGACGGAAGCTGAAGAATCAGTCAACCAAAATGAACTGATGAGGGAGTTCGTGGATGCTGGAACAACCTGGGAGTTCCTGCCTCCCTCTTCTCCACACATGGGCGGTAGCTGGGAGCGCTTGATCGGTTCCGTCAAAAAGAACCTAATGACGATCCTACCAGCACGGAAGCTGTCGGACGAGGTCTTACGGAACCTGCTGACTGAAATCGAGAACACGGTGAATTCCCGCCCACTGACGCACGTTCCTGTCGATGACGATTCAGCTCCAGCCTTGACGCCCAACCACTTCCTTCTGGGCTCTTCCAATGGAGTCAAGCCGCTCAGCACCCTTGATGACAGCGGAGTAGTGGCACGACGAAGTTGGCGATTGTCCCAAGCCCAAACTAACCGGTTTTGGAAGCGTTGGGTAAGCGACTACTTGCCCGAGATAACCCGGCGTACCAAGTGGTTCGTACAAACGAAGCCGATTGAGGTCAACGACGTTGTGGTGATAGCGGACCCGAAGATGCCACGGAACTGCTGGCCGAAAGGCAAAATAATCTGCACTCAACCTGGACGAGACGGCCAACCCAGATCAGCAATGGTGAGGACATCGACCGGGATCTACGAGCGTCCGGTTGCCAAACTAGCTGTTCTAGACGTGCGACGCGAAGCGGAGTAAGCTGATCAGGTGGTCAACGTACCTGGGGGGAGTGTTGGCGTGTCAACGCCAGCGCGCCGCTACTGTGAGCAGACAGCAGCTCAGTTTCGACTATTGCGCATGACATCGCGATGCGCAATAGGCGTGACAGATATTCGCAGCGATGACAGGTTTGGTACTCAGGTATTGGTGAGTAGAATAGAGGAATGATTTGACAGAAGAGCTGATTCAGCACAAACATGGGAGAGTGGGAGAGGAATTGGACTGATAACAGGATTGATAGGAGAATGAGTAAACAAATAATCTAGACAAAAAAGTAGAAGGCAAGTGAAAGAACACTTGATTTTATCATTAAGCCAATTACCTGATAATTTTAGAAATAAGCACTAAGGAATTTAGATATTTAGGATAATGTTTCAGTAGTAAATTTATGGGGCAAAATAGGCTCCACACATGCACTTATCACCGCGTGTACCGATTGAAAATATGCAGAATAAAATTCTTAACGTTTTTTTCCAAAGGAAGTCATATGTTACAATGTGTGGTTTGAGCGGCAGACAATTTCAAGCCTTTTTGCTGCCAAAATCCCCACTGTGCGACGGTTCGCCGAGAATTGCCATCACCACAAGAATCTCCAAGATCCTCTTGTTGGCCCGCTCAGCGTAGCTGAAATCGATCAAACGCTGCTAGCCTTAGTTCACCGAGCTCAAGAGCAGCATTTTGAGAAGGAAATCCGTCAGCTCTCCACTATTGGTCAAGTGGACCAGAAATCCAAGCTCCGATATATTCATCCACAGCTCGTGGACGGTATAATTCGGGTTGGCTACCCGGTTGTACAATGCACGAATGCCCGATCGTTCTCCCAGTCAAGCACCAACTGACCGAAATAATTTCGCCAGATCGTGCACCTATTCGTGACGTGCGTGCGAGCTAAACCGAAATCACTAGAGTAGCTGATGGGAAAACTTTCTCCTGTGCGGGTCAACCAGGCGTACCCATTCGTTAAGAAACAAGCGCAGTCCGTTCTTCAAGACGTACATCGTGGTCTACGTTTGCCTCGTAACCAAAGCTGCTCATCTCGATCTTGTGTCTGACCTGACCAGCGAAGTATTCATTGTCAGTCTGCGGCGATCCAGCAGTCGCAGAGGAAAGCCTGCACACGTCTACTGTGACAACGCGACAAACTTCGTTGGAGCGAAAAGGGAGCTGGAAGAGCTACGGAATTTGTTCCTGTCACAGCAGTACAAGGAGTCAGTAGCGCGAGAGTGTACAGAGGATGGCATCCAGTTTCATTTCATCCCACCACGTTCGCCTTCTTCCGGTGGAATCTGGGAGGCAGGCCTGCTTAAAATAAGTCAAGACTCTGATTCGCAAAATTCTCGGCAATGCCCAACTGGGCTAGTGCAGGTGGATTCAATGCTTTACTCACGCCCAATTACTCCGCTACCAGACGATCCATCCGGTGGGTTCGCTCAAACCCCGGGACACTTCCTGACCGGCAGACCGTTGAATGCAATACCCGATTGCGATCAGCAAGACGTCCCTGAGACCCGCTTGCCCCGGTGGAGACGAGTACAGCAGCTCACTCAACATTTTTGGTTCCGTTGGCACAAGGAGTACCTGGCTAAGCTTCAAAACCGTTACCACTGGATTCAAGCTCTCGACAACCTCGCCGTCAGTTCCATCGTCGTTCTCAAGGACGAGAATGTTCCGCCACAGAAATGGCCTCTCGGGCACGTGATCACCAACCATCCTGGTACAGATTGGCAAGTTCGGGTTGCCTCAGTAAAGAGCAACTCTACCCGAGCAAAGTAGAATAACAACCCGATGTCATCTAGATAACAAGTCTTGTTATCCCAGATATCATTTTGTTTTCAGTTGTTATCGCATAACTTATTTAGTTATCAGCCTTGATCAATTTTGTTATCAGTTGTTATCATGAAAAATTCACTATATATTTATTAACGAAGCAAGGTTAGATCAAAACTTTAAATATTATTCGCAATGAAACAATAAAAAATAGTGCTTTTAATCCCTAATCATATTTAAGTTATCAGCGTAAGGCTTTGATATAAAAATGATAACATGATTTGAAATTTATGGAATAAATTTGTATGGCTTACAGAATTTGTTATCAAGATATTATCAATGATAACAAAATTAGTTATTTTTGTGATATCCAACGAGCAAATTTTTGTTATCATTTTTGTTATGTTGGCTGTTAATTCAACCATAATGATAACATGTTCAGTTATCAAAAAGTGATAACCGGGTAATAGAACTTGTTATCAATTTGATATTTTACTTTGCTAGGGTAACCAAGCGTGCCATTACCAAGATGTGCCTACTTCCGGTCGTAGTGCCGAAAGTTGTTCAAACCATGGGTATTCCGGCTACAACGTCGCCTGAAGAAGACCTTTGCTCAGGGAACAGAGCAGCTGGACGAGTTCCCCGAGCAAAGTAAAATATCAAGTTGATAACAAGTTCTATTACCCGGTTATCACTTTTTGATAACTAAATATGTTATCATTATGGTTGAATTAACAACCAACATAACAAAAATGATAACAACAAATAACTCGTTGGATATCACAAAAATAACTAATTTTGTTATCATTGATAATATCTTGATAACAAATTCTGTAAACCATACAAATTTATTCCATAAATTTCAAATCATGTTATCATTTTGATATCAAAGCCTTACGCTGATAACTGAAATATGGTTAAGGATTAAAAGCACTATTTTTTATTGTTTCAATGCGAATAATATTTAAAGTTTTTAACTAACCTTGCATCGTCAATAAATATATAGTGAATTTTTCATAATAACAACTGATAACAAAATTGATCAAGGCTGATAACTAAATAAGTTATGAGATAACAACTGAAAACAAAATGATATCTGGGATAACAAGACTTGTTATCTAGATGATATCTAGTTGTTATTCTACTTTGCTCGGGTCCCGGCCCTTGCTCAGGGAAATGAGTCGCCAGAATCTCTAAATGCAACACGTAGGGGAAATGGATGTAGTATTGGCCTAAATGCCCCTAAGGTCCGTCGCAATGGCGCTTTCATCTAGATAAAATTGATAAATAGTAGATTTTTAGCGATGGGCCCAATCTTAGATCCATAGGCCAACATTAGAGCCCCTTTTTTTTCCTTTATTTACAAGGCTTTTAGCCATTGGCTGGTTCGCCTTGGGAACTCCAGAAGGGAGTTCCAAAAGGTTTGTAAGAGCTGCTACAGTGTTTGTATAACCATTAACTCCATTACCATAAAACACAAATCAGTATAAACATAAAGGACATAGTTGAAGATGCTAATTTCAAATAACAGACTGTAGTGGTAATTTTTATACGATAGATGGAGTAGATGAAAGCATAGAGTTGATAGTTCCGTTAGAGTACGGCAGTGTGAAGATTGCATATAGATATTAGAATAGCGAGCTAGAACAACTTTTAAGGAAGGTACAAATCGGTTTTTTCATCTCTCTTTACCAAACTCCCCCTTTGGAGAGGGATGGTGAGGGGTGTCCCCCCCCGCCACCACTGGCAAAAAGAGATGAAAACCGACCCGCTCAAGTACCAACTGTGTGTTTGAAACAGTTCTACCGATTTTTTACCGCACTTCAGTTGTTATTTGAAGGAAGGCATCCAGTCGTAGGTTTGGAAATTGCAACTATTGTTTACCCCTACCACGATATGTGCTCCTGTCATCGTCGACTTGACGATCTCGAGGGGACACGGGTGGGGTAGGTGCTGCTACTGTACCTTTCGACCATTGACAGTAATAACCATGATCCTTAAAAGTTGTTCTAGCTCGCTATTCTAATATCTATATGCAATCTTCACACTGCCGTACTCTAACGGAACTATCAACTCTATGCTTTCATCTACTCCATCTATCGTTTAAAAATTACCACTACAGTCTGTTATTTGAAATTAGCATCTTCAACTATGTAAATCGTTGACTTCACGTACATATAGTCAAAGTATAAAGGACATATTAAAATAAGAACTAGCGTGGTACATCTGCGTTAATTCAGTTGGATTTCCAATTGGATTGCGGTAAGGTGTCATCAGGGTTCAGGGTTGAAACGTATCGTGGTGTATGCTGGTAGTTGGAGCTAGTCATTGAGGGTTGCGTGGGTCGAGTAATTTAAATCATATTGAAGAGTCCGGTTTCCTTCAGGAAGATGAACACTATAGCAGTCCGAGCGGGATCATCGGAGAGGACCTCCCGGATGCTGCCGGAAATGTCGTAGCTTCTCCTGGTTCCATCGTATTTCGGGCACATGCAGATGAAGTGCTCGACGGTCTGTGGGATGTGGCAGTGGTCGCATATCCTCCGGAAGGGTTCGTCCCCCTTATAGTTGTGGGAGACGTTTGTGTGGCCGGACCGGAGTCGCGATAAAACGACCTGCTCACGGTGGAGGGGTGGATCCTCCCATCTGCTGGTGTCCTCTTTTATCTTCCGTATAAACAGTCTACGGTCTTGGTGACCCACTTCTTTAGATCCTGCCCGGGGACCTTCCGGGTATATTTGGCCATACAACGGCCTGATCCGGCGAGATGATCAGCTTCCTCATTCCCTTTTCCACCGCAATGTCCAGGCAACCAAATGAATACCGTGTTGGGTGGCGCGTACTCTTGGATGGCCTGTATCCAGGGGTGCCTGCTGGTTGCGGATTCAAGTGCCGTGACTACACTAGCAGAGTCTGTGAAAAGTGCGATTGGCCCTGTATCCGGGGTAGTAACTGCGATAAAAGCTAGGGCTGCCTCGGCGGAAAAAATAGAGCACTCATTCAGGAGCCTGTGACACTCCTTTAGGTGGTCACCCGAGATGCCGATGGCCACCCTTTTCTGGGTTACGGAACCGTCCGGGTAACGGATGGCGTATCCAGCGTACTTCCTTCTCTGCAAATCCAATACCGCCTGATTTACCACAGAGGGATTGGAACCAGCCTTGATGCGTCTTGCACACTGGGGGGAGAGCTCGGTTGGAGATTTCCCTGAGG